AGAATAGCAAGCAACATTATAAAACAGTTTCCAGAAGTATCTATCTCATTAGTGTTGCAACATATTATCTTACCATTGGGTATCAGATTGTTGAACTGGTTAGCCATACTTCATCCACTCAACAAATATTGGTTGATTGTACCAGGGTTCATAGTGGGACTGCTTATCTTGGGTGAGCAGAGTAGTAAAAGAGGAACCTACCAAAGCAGACGGGGGAAACCCTGCCGTCATCCCTGATGTGCACGTCCACAGCTAGTGTACTGGGAGACAGGAGTAGAAGGAGTGGACTCAACATGCTTCACCCCTACTGTGTGGGGAAAGGCGCCCTGCAGGAAGTGATTATCCAAGTGGAAGCCTGAGGAGGAAGGGGATACACCAGCCAGTGGGGAGCTGGCTTTCAGGGACCTGGCCGGGCCGGGGGAGAGGTGGGACAGCCACATGGTTTATTTCAGTATTTACTTGAAGATGTTTTGCTGATTCCGGGAGCTTCAGCTGTGTATTTTAAGTAAAAATATTTCCATCTGATAACTTTAAATTGTGGACCTGTCATTTCATTTAGGTTAGAAACCTTAAGGTCTGAAAATGAGTGGCATAAACAAAAGTGTTTGAAACTGCTGAGCTGAACGGAGCAAGGAGTGAGTAGCTGTCTGGGATTTCAGTTCCCAGTGAGTCCCTGTGTGTGGTCTGAGCCAAGACACACAGCCTCTGTGTGTGTCTGTGTGTGTGCGCTGGAAAATGGGTCTTAGAACCAAAAATAACCTCACTTGTTGTCTGTTTCCTAAGGAGTTCTGATTATGGGGAAGCTTGCACATCCTTTTGTAGGAAGGACTTGGGTCAGTCTGCCCAAGTCATGCGGTAGCTCATCAAAGTGCCTGCTGACTGTCAATTACTGCTGTGGGAGAAGTCAGCAGTGGGTGGGGAGATCATCATCCTGGAGGCAGCGTGAGCGAGTTAATGCCCAGACTGAGGCCCACTGTGTGGGTAAGTGGATCTGTGTATAGATAAGACAGGGAAAGACAAAAAGATAATTCCAAGGTGCTGAGTAGATGGGGCCTCCTCAAGTGCATTCTAGAACTGTCTTCCATCTAGAGTCACTGTCACATTCCTTTTCATCAGAACATATGAATTTAAAACTGTTTATTTGTTGTCCAGATTATTCTAGAAGAGTTTAAGGCAGGAATGTGAGTGTTATCAAATGCTTCCTGGACCTTGCAAGCTGATTTCTAATGGTGTATCTTCCAACTCGCCTACTCTGGTTCTCAGACTTCCCTGTCCAGGCCCCTGAACCAGACTAGGGCAGAAGTGTGAGGCTTAGCAGACAGGTTCTTGTGTCGTTTAATGAATACCGTGCTCCTACATGGCCTTCCAGCCCAGCAGAGAGGAGACGGAAAAGAGAGATCGGAAAACCATGAGCCTGTTTTCTTGGGGGCAGTTTAAATACACTGTGGGAATGGTCTTGAGCACCTCTGGGGGAGAGGTCATCATTTGGCAGGCTTTCTGAGATGCAGCAGGGTGTGGAGAGAGATGGGAGAGGGGAGCTTGTGTGGAACTTCCACCAGAACATTCCAGACTCTTTGGGTATATGGATGCCAGAGGCTGGAGCTGGGGTGGAGCTCCCACCATAAAAGTGGCACCACCTGGGATTGCAGTCACACATTCAGATGGCTTCATTAATCTTGTACCCAGCTACCCTGGTCCTCTGAGATGACATGTGGCTAACTGCTTTAGAATGCAATGATGAAACGCTGGTCTCGGACCATTAAAAGATGAGATAATCTATTGCATGTGCTCCACACTTGCCTCTTTTCACATCGGCTTCCTCTTCCTGCCCAGCCATCGCCTGTGACACCCACAACCCATGGTTTTGTCTCTGGGTATGTCCAGGATGGGGAATGGGGAAAAAAAAAAAAAGAGAAGGGAGCTTCAGAGGGCCAGCCACTGTACAGCAACCTACAACGGAGAAGTTATTAAATGCCACACACGTGTTCTGAAAGGCCTGCCTGTGGTGGTTTTTCTCCAGTAGAGCACACTGAGGTCTAGGGGACAACTGGAAAGGACAAGCCCCGCCCTTTGTGGCAGAGTGGATGATGCCAGTGGGTGCTTTGTTTTTGAGATTCATTTCCGTGTGTGTGTGTGGGGGGGGGGTTGTGGGACAGTGAGCAGAAGTTGAATCTCTTCCTCGTTCGTCTGTGTCCTGCAAATGGAGCTCAGGTCATCAGCCCGGCAGCTCTCCTCCCTCTGGCTCGATGGCTGGTGGAGTGCATGCCTTCTGCATTCATAAATCTTTACACCGGGGTGTTGAACTGGGAGATTCCTTTGAGTCTACTTTGAGCCTCAACTTAAGCCAAATGTCTGTCTGACTGGTGTTGCGAGGGTCCCATGAGAATTTCTAAGCGAGGGTGGCTAGAATTTGGTAGGTTTTGGCCTGTTAACTCTTACCAGCCAAGGCCCTTCCATCCTCCCCGCGTAAACTAGGCTATTTATTTATTTATTTTTAGTTGCAGCCACTGTGTGAAAGAAGCTCTACAACGAAGATATTATTTTAAGTCAGAAGTGTAAATAATAGGGTTATTAAGCACATGCCATGTGTGGGCAGTCTCCTAGGCAGTTTGTATACATTATCTAGAACTTCTGGAACAACTCCACAGACAGGGATAATGATAATAAAGGCTAATTTGCCGAGTGCTTAGTGTGCCCTGGGCTTCATTCTAAATATTTTACCTGTGTTATAAAAGTGTCTCAACAGCCCTATGGAAAGAGTGGCGCTTTCCATCCATTTTATAGGCAAAAGAGCAGACAGAGGTCCAGAGAGGATGACGTTACCCAGCGGTTCAGGGCCCATTGCTCATGTTCAGAACTGTGTTTTTAGCCATGGTGCACAGTCCCTTATTTTGTTTTCCCTACGGCTGAGTAGCCTGAGGCCCAGGGCCATTAATGTCACACGTGTCAGTGGCATAACCTCAAGCAAGTAATTGTCAAGTTTAGAGCTCTGTTGAGTGTATAGAAGGTGGGACTGCATAGATGTAAGCAAGTGTAGAACCCAGTTTGCGTTGCTATAATGGAATACATAAGATGGACTAGCTCGATAAAGAAAAGGATTTTATTAAGCTCTCAGTTCTGGAGGCTGAAGTCCTAAGTAGGGCAGGTTTCTTGGCTTGGTCTCTGGCAAGAGCCCTCAAGGCTGCATCACGGCTGGGAGCACAGATCAAGAGCAAAAGGCTGCCATGCAAAACAGGAAAGTAGATGATGATTCAAGGGCCAAGTTTATCTGTGTAACAGCCTTCCCTTCCAAGGGCAGGACTGTTAATGCCCCCCACCATGTGATCCCATCCCTTAAATGTCCTATTGCCTTTGGAACGGATCCAGGCCACTACTAAGATAAAGAGAAACACACCTGAAGAATAGAAAAACCCCAGGGCTGGAGAGATGGCTCAGTGGTTAAAAGCACTAGCTGCCTTTCCAGAGGAACCTGGTTCAAGTACCAGCACTCCCATGGCAGCTCACAGCTGTCTGTAACTCCAGTCCCTGGGGACCTGGCACCCATGGCAAAAATACCAATGCACAGAAAATAAGAATAAGTTTTTAAAAGAATAGAAACCCCCAGCTGAGTCCTGAGCCCCTCCCCAATACCCTGGGATAAAAGTTCTTTTGATTTGTCTTAGGATTCGAGAAAGATCGTTCTTTGACTTCATTCTGTGTCCTAAAAAATAGGAAGCCAGATGGCCAGGCTTAATCTCAGCAGCTGCTTGGTAATCCTTCCCTTTTGGCCAAGGCACATGCAGAGGCGGAGAGCAGCCTTCCCGCACCGTGCCGCTCAACTCGCAAGTCTAGCATTGGATATCAGAGGCAAATACCACTGGGAGGCTGAAAGACCCACTGGGGGGGGGGGTGGCGAGGTGGCTTAGTGGGGGGGGGGTTGGCGAGGTGGCTTAGTGGGCGGGCGAGGGCACTTGCCGCACAAGCCTGACAAGCCTAGGAATCCATGTAAAAGGCCAGGTGCAGGGGTACGTATCTGTAATCCCCTCCCTTCTGCCAGGACAGTCTCCTGAGCTAGGTAGGTAGCCTAGAACACACAGCACTGAGAACCAGGTAGAAGATAACCGATTCATCACAGTTGTCCTCTGACCAGGGAGCCATGGCATGCACACATCCGTGCTCGTTTTTATATACCACACACAATGATAATGATATCAAATAAAAATTTAAAGCTAGTTCAAAGCTTGAAGCAGGGCCAGTGTGATAAAGAGGCCACATCGAGGGTGTCAAGAAATTCTAGAGCCAAGTCTCTCCTGAAGGAAGATACACTGTTCCCATGGCAGAAGGCACTGGCAATGTGGGGCTTCACGTTTTCCTCTGGACTCTCTGGGAGTATGGAGGAAAGGAGTTACAGGGATGGTGTATCCCCGCCTGTGGGTGGGAGACTGGATTGAAATGGATGCACAAAAGGCTTGCCTTCCAACACAGTAGAACCTAAACGGTCTGGAATAGTTGCTGCCTGAGAGTTGTCACATGTCCCTCCTGAGCTGCCACCCACTGAGCAGAGCATGGGCTATTCCTTGCACTTGGAGATTATGCCCCTCACACAGAAGCTGAGAAATGACTAGGTTTCAGGGAAACTGACAGCTAGCGTGGCTGAGGTGTGGCTCATGGTGTAGCATTTGTCCAGCATGCACAGAGCTCCAGGTTAACCTCGAAGACTGCAGTGCTGAGGCCTTGTGCATGCTAGAGGAGTGAGTGTTCTACCTCTAAGGCACACCACAGTCCCAGGACCGCAAAAGGAAAAAAATAATCACTGCGTCTTTCAGAGAAACAGACGGGAGGATGGAAGGGCCCTCTGTGGATTTGCTGTCTTTATGGCCGAGAGCTTGGGGTGCAGACTGGATCCTGTTTTAGGCCCTGGCTCCAGTCCGTGCTCATGTATTTTCCAGTGAGACTCACTCGTGCTCCTCCCGGTAAAGCCCACCACACTCAGCTGCTTATTGTCTTGTTTTTTTTAACAGAAATGTGTGTGCGGATGCGAGCCGTGCAGACCCTGATGCCTCTAACTCCCTCAACTCAGAGCGGCTCACCAGCGGTCCCCAGCACCGGAAAGCAACATGGTCAGGAGGGGTGAAGCTTCGGCTAAAGCAGAGGTAGGAGACATGGAGGTCGATGCCAAACGGTGTGAAGGGAAAGACTGGCCCACCGTCAGGGGAGGGTGGAGGCAAAGATGGTCAGAGACACGGGCTGGTGGGAGAGGAAAGAGGAAAGGGGGTCACATAGGTTAAAAGGTCACAAGGGTAAGAATCTTGTTTGTTTTAGGCCTGAGGATTGAATACTTGGTCTTGAAATGATAGCAAATGTTCTCCCACAGTGCTATTAGACATTAGACGTTTGAATTTTGTACTGCTATAATAGCACATGCCTTTAATCCTAGTACTTGGGAGGCAGATGAATTTATGATTTGAAGGCCAGCCTGGTCTACATTACAAGTTCTAGGCCAGCCAGGTCTACATAGTGAGAGACACACACACACACACACACACACACACACACACACACACACACAGAGAGAGAGAGAGAGAGAGAGAGAGAGAGAGAAATTGGATCTGTGCCAACCTGGATTTACTTGTTTGGGTTTTTCATGTTTATGAAATTCATGTTTATGAATTAAAGTATCTGTTATGTTTTATTGTAGTAAGACAACACTTATATTTGACATTTATATTAAGATCCTTTATTATATTCCATTTTAAGAAAGGTACTCGAAAGTTGTTTGAACGTGCCAGAGGGCCAGTGAAGCCAGCTGCCTGGAGAGAGGTGGGTAGACTGGCCGGCACAGGCTGAGCTTCTCGGAACCATCTGGCAGGCTTGCTGCCAGCAACAGGTGAAGGCAGAAGCTCTGAGGCTGGCACCGGTCCCTTTGGTCACCTCGTTTCCTTCCAGTGCAGACAATCAGCATCATCTGCTAGGCTGTGTAGGTGAATCCCATGGAGGTCGGGAAGCTGTCATTCGGACACCTGCTGCTCTAACCTGGGGCAAAAAGTGATCAGGATCCCGAACCAAGTCTGTGCTGATAGGACACGAGATGACACAGACTCGAGATGGATTAAGGGCACAGAGTTAATAGATGAAAGTAAGGGAAAGGAGGACAGTTCAATCACAGTTCCCAGGGGCTCTGTTGTCGGGCCCTTGGAGACAATGGTAGGACTCTTGGCCAACCCTGGGAGAGCAGAAAGCAGAGACATCAGGAGACAGAGCCTGCTGGTGCTAAGTAGGAATTCAGACTGTGTGTGGTGGCACAGGCCTTTAATCCTAGTAGCCGGGGGAGCAGAGACGGGTGGATTATCTGTGAGTTTCATCTGTCTGTTGGGTAGACACACATGAAGACACATATGCACAGAAAATACTTTGTAAAGCAATCCTTGAAAAGTTAAGTAAAACAAATGAATTTAAATATATCGGTTTGGTAGCCTGGCCATTTTTAAATCTGGCCGGGGGTGCTGGGGGCTGTGCTGTGTTCCTGCAACCTCTGCCTCCTTGGGGGAGTCTAAAATGATCACACAGCCTGCAATATAGCAAGCTCCTTTCTCAAACAGGCAAATAGGAAACTAGTCAGCCATCACCAACACAGTCAGCGGTGCTGTCTGTGTGGAAGGAACATGGCAGGATCAGGTGGAAAGGTAATTTTCTCCTTAATATCCTGAGCTTTGGGTGGGGGGTGGGGGACAGAGCTCATTTGATGGTGGTGGTGGGGTGCTTGTCTAGCATGATGTAGACTGGGTGTCATCCCAAGCACCTTATAAGCCAAGCATGGTGGCGTCTTAAATCCTAGCACTGAGGTGGCTGAGGCAGGAGGGTCAGAAGTTCAGAGGCATTCTCAGCCTCATGGAGAACTTGAGGCCAACCTGGGACGCACGGCACCTATCTTAAACGAAAACAATCCTGAGTTTGATTGGGCGTTGCACCTATTTACCACTGTTCGAGTGGGGTTTCACTCCGTGTGCCTCATCTTGCTTATGCGTGGGCTTTGTCTCCGTAACTATAGTTAATGAGGATCTGCGGTCAGGTCATGCTTCCTAATCCCATCCTCCAAGGTCACCCAACTGTGTTAGTTGCTGTGACAAAATACCTGCCAAAGCAGCTTAGGGGAGAAAAGCTTGTTTTGGCTCACAGTTTGAGGGTGGTTGGGGAGGTGGCAGGCAGTGAGGGCAGCTGCAGGAGTGGAGGAAGCTGCTCACACTGCACATTGGTCTGGAAGCTGAGAGGAATGAATGCACCTGCTCAGCTCTCCTCCTCCTTTTCCCCAGTGTTCAGATCCCACCCGACAATTTGGTCTTCCTTAGTTGAATGTCTCCAAAAACACCCTAGCAGACACGCCAGAGGTGGGTCTCCTAGGTGACTGCAAGTCCAACCAGACTGAACTTAAAAATTGGAGCGGCTCTCATTCATCCAGCTATATTCATTCAGATCCTAACTCTTAATTGTTTTAGCTTTTACTTATTCCAAAATCACTGTAAAATTACTAGCAAATAAGTAGTGCTAGTAATTTCCCAAACCTGGTACCCAGCTTTTCCCTAAACAGCAAATTACAAAGATTGGCCATTTCCTTCCCTGCTAGCCTTTTCTGCTTAGGAATGCTGCTTCACAGTTTTCACATTTTCTTATTTGTCTCTTAATTTGTGACACTTTGTTAGTCCTTCCTTGGCTTTTGTGACTTGAATTTAAAAAAAAAAAAAACAAAAAACATTTCTTTTGGAGATAATGGCATTGTCCCCTGGGCTTGTGTAGAGGTCCAAGGACAACTTGTGTGAGTTGATTCTCTCCTTTGACTCTGAGGGTCCTGAGGGTCACATTCGGGTTGATGGGTTCAGCAGCAAGCACCTTGACCCACTGGGCTATCTTCCCAGCCCCGAAGCCTGTGCACCACAACTTGAGTGTTGCTAGATTGTTGTTTTGTCTTTACTGGGGATTAAACCTTGGTTATCATGCATGCTTGTCAAATCCTACAGCAGTGACCTTGTTTTTAAGGGAAGTGGCCAGTTACTATGTAGAATGCCTTCAGTTTGGAGATATCTCATGTTTTCTCATGGTGAAGTGAGGCTTAGGCATTTTTGGCAGGGACGCCACTCAAATGATGTGTGTCATTCCTAGTGCCTTGCATAGTCCACGTGATGGTGATATTTCATTACTGCTGATGGCAACTTTGGCAACTTGGTCATGATGAGGTCCCCACGTTTCTTCACTGTGGGGAGCACTGTTTGTCCCTTTGTATTTCATGATTATCTTGCAGAGTAACATTGAGGCTATATGTAATACAGTTTCTCTTCTAACTTTTCTTTTCACTAACTTTAAAATCTGTTGATATTATGTGTGACAACAGGAATGTTCTAGAAGGTATTCCGTATTTCCTTAATTTCTTCTATGTTTGTTCATCAGAATTCAGCAAGGAACACTTTTTCTTCCTTCTCCCATCTAATTTTTTTCCAGTGACTGATTTATATCAGCAAGGAGTTCATAACCCTAGGCGTCTGCTATTTATGTTGTTGCTTCATATTGTCCCAATGCTGGCCATTTGAAGTGATTTCAGGCTGGCTCTGCTCCAAATCCTAGTCTGAAGCATACGGAAAGGCATGAAGTACCATTATTTTGTTTGTGCTGGTACAGAAAGCAAAAAACAATGTGTTTATATGTGGAGTCAAACAAGTGTTGAGGCAGGAGGCTAACAGTGGGTACCTCTTAGAGGCCAGTACCATGACTTTGAAAATTGGAAACTTCTAGGGTCACCTCATGGACCAAATACAAGAGGTGAGAACTCTAAAGCTCCTTCATTTAGCAACCCAACCTTCCTTCCTCAGTGTGCAACAGAAATCCCATTCCCCAGTGTGCAACAGCAATTCTAGCACTTTGGAGGCTGAGACTGGAGAATTTTGAGTTCAAGTCCACCCCAAGCTACAGCCCGAGACCCTGTTGCAGGGAGAGAGACAACAGGAGAGCACTTTGCCTTTGTTTGTTTCAAGTTGGGTCTTAGTATGTATCCTAGGTCAGCCTAGAACTTTTGATCCCCTTGCTTTGCTGTGATTTCAAGTGTGAGCCACCCAGTGGGAGGGACAGAGAATCTTTAAGATCTCACCTATTTTGGCAGTAACGTTTCCCTAAAAATTTGTGGAGCTCTGGGTTAGGGTAGTTGGTAATGAGTCGGTAATGGAGAAAAGTTATTCTACCTTACAACCAAGGATTTACCACTCCAGTGATTCGTCCTTCCTTCACCAGTTGCCTCTACCACTAGAATAACTGTGTGGAATCAAACAGTACATAGATACGCGTGCGCGCACGCACACACACACACACACAAACATACATACATACATACATACCGGGTGGAAAAACAAACAGCGCAGACTCAGGCTCCTTTTGAGCTCCAGGGCCAATGATTCTGCGCCTCCTAGTTCTCTCAGTGGGGCATTATTGTCCCCAGCTGCCTTCCCTGCTCTCCAGAGAAACCCCCGGTGAGCCTCTGTAAGAGCTGATGCTTCAAAAGCAGAAGCAGTGAACACCCGGGGTTCACAAGTGTTGTTTCGTATAGGGAGGCGGCTTCCTTCTTTGGTTGCATCGTCCAGCAAGAGGTTTTCCTTGCTTGCATCCTCGCCTGCTTAAAGCAGAGTCAAAAAGTTTGGCATTTCAAAGCAATGTGCTGCCTGCCGACCAGGATCCTGGTTTTTCCAGGAAAAGTACTAAGGGCAACCCTTTCTTCTCCGAGTTGGATTTTTAATTGGTCCATTTACATAGGTGCCTGAGAGGTAGAGTCCTCCCACTTGCTCTGAGCGCTCCGGGAGGTTCTTGCCCTTTAACTGCCCGCTCACCTGCCTGGGACCGGAAATCTTCGGAACCCCACCCCTGTGGGCGGAGCAGAAGCCCAGCGGGATGACTTAGCTCTCTACCCTGCTCTTGAATACCAACCAGGTTGGCCAGGGGTTGTTCTGTGCTGTGTTTCTGTCTGCCATAAGGTAAGTGCACACTGCACACCGTTGGAATGAGATTCTGGAGCTTTCGTTGCAGGGTTCAAACTCAAGAGCCTTTTTTCTGATGTCTTTTTGATAGTGTGTTGTATAAGGGTCTTTGTTTTCTTGCCTCATCTTTTTTTGGGGGGATG